TCTGTTTTCAGGTTTTTGTATAATAATAATTTTGTAATCGTTTTCATGTCCCTGTGTCCGTTTTCTGTCCTTGAAGTCTGCGAATACGTGTGTTTATTTACAAATTACTGTAAGTCATGCTTATACCTTAACTAATTTACGTTAAAAGTGCATATAATTAACTAATTGGTATTGAAACAATACAATCCTCTATATTTTTATATTTATTTAGTCACGTTGTTCCATACTTCAAATAAATATATGTGAATAAATTATTTTTTGGTTTTATTTATGAAAAGAAAAAATACAAAATACATTTGAACTGAAAGAGGGCCCGCCATTGAATAACCGGAAACGGAAGTGAAAATTAAGCCATCATGTCCTTATCATGACAATCTGTCAATTGGAAAATTAGTTCTCCAGACGACATCGAAGGCTTTCGGTGGCGTATCGTGTTTCCACGATTTAACACAGAGTTGACACTTCTTTCTAGTTAATTATTTTATGGTTGTCAGTTTTGAGTCAATATTTTTTAATTTTCTTTCGTGTCGATTGCTGATTGAATTGGAGCCAGAAATGACTCAAAACGATATAAGTAAATTACCAACAGATATTCAGCCTGAGGCGACAAACGCCATATCCAACGGTTTTGGAGATTTTTCTCCATCGTCAGGCCGACTTTGCTGTAACCCTCGATCTGACCAACGAAAAGCAGAGAATAGCATTTGAGTACAAAACATACTACTATGGCGAGAGTGCTAGACGCTCTACGCCATCTAGCGGTAGCTGTGACAATCACAGATCGTACCGCCAAAATTCAAAACCAGCGGCCTACTGGACAAACATGCTTGCTTCATCCACGTTACCGTAGATGGAGCTAAGAAGGCTTAGGTAGAGTATATGTAATAAATGAACAAAAAAATACGAGTAGCGGAAAAAGGGGCCAAAAAGCCCTACATATATGCTTATTCAGGTAATATTTTATCTACCATTTTTGATAAATATAAGGCAATTTTAACAGTTGCTATGGAAAAAAGAAAATTTAATCAACAATTTAAACTGAGCTTTTTCTAAACTGTCCGACCACTGGCATATTCACCCTACTAGCCGATTATAAACTTAATTGAAATTATACCAGTTACGCCACTGGTCTCCATAACAATCACCATTCATCGTCTATCTATCTATACGAAAAAATCGACCTATTAAAGCATTTTTAACAAAGGGTTTTATTTCCATGGGATATTGAGCTCCTTACTTCCCCCTTCGAAGGCTTCTCTTTCTCTCATTAAACCTATTGCAATATCAATGCGATACTGACATAAGCTGATTATAGAACGGTTGCCGGTAGCTACAGTTTTACCCCTTTACGGCGAGCTGCGTCGACCAAAGCGAACAAAGAACCCGACTAAAAACCCCGTCTAGTCCTCAAAGTTTAAGAAAATATTATACAACTGGTTGCATGTAATAATGCTTTGTTTGTCTCTATAGATTTTATTCGTAATCTCGGTAAAGGACAGATCGTTAAAAACATTAGACGGGGTAAATCCTGTTTGTATATTTATGTTTCCTTTGTAAAATATATTTTTAACAGTATAATAATATTATTGATTTTGTATTTACAGTCTGATGGCTGGTGCAGCGAACGTAAATATTTTCGCTTTTAGTTCAATAACCTCAAATAAATATTGGATAGCATAATAAGAGTTCAATCTCTGATCTATAAATCATAGTTTTTAATGACGTTAAGCTTTTAATAATGATTATGCTTTTTTTGTAGTGGTGGGAAATACTTTTATTTATAAATAACAGTTAGAACTTAAGGCTGATTTACAAGTATCCAACTACTGAATACGTGTTTTATATAAGAACATGTATGGAAATACTTCTGAAACATTGGAAACCGACGTTATGCCACGATCCACGATGCTTTTTGCAGTTCACACAGCTTTTTAAGTGCCTTCTTCTTCTTCTTGCGGTTCGATCTCCTAATGGAGGTTGGAAATCATCATGGCAATTCTAACTTTGTTAACGGCTGCTCTGAATAACTGGTTTGAAGTCATTCCAAACCATTCTCTTAAATTCTTGGGCCATGATGTTCTTCTTCTTCCTTGGCTCCTTCTGTCCATTATCTTTCCTTCTATTATGTTCTGCAACAGAGCATATTTAGGTCCTCTCATTATGTGTCCAAAGTACTCAAGTTTTCTTTTTTTAAGGGTGTTAATCATCTCTGCGTCCTTCTGAATTCTGCGTCGCAGTTCTACATTTGTAACCTTGTCAGTCCATGCAATCCTCCGATAACACCATCTTTCGACTCATCAGGGCAATTGTTCGATGGTCGGAACATTCTTTGGCATTGGGTTTCTTGGGCAACGGTACAAAACTAGACATTAATCAATCCTTTGGTATAATGCCCGTAGTGTATAAACATTAAAAAGATTAACTAAAATTTCAATGGCTTCATCATCTATAAGTTTGAGAAGCTCGATTGGAAGTTCATCAGGACCATGCGCTTTGCCACTCTTGATCTGTTTAATTGCGTGTAATACTTCTTCTCGCAAAATGGTAGGACCTGTGGCTTCTGAGAAACTGGGCACCATGTCCGGACGATTATCGTAAAAAAGATCTTTTATATATTCAGACCAACGAAGCAGCTGTTGTTTAATATCAATGATTAACGTACCAGTTTTATCCTTAATTACTGTCGGTTGTTTATGTTTCGCCATTCCAGTCAGTTCTTTGATTTTTTTGTGCAAGTTAAAGCTATCATACTTTCTCTCATACTCTTCAATGGCTTCACACTCTCTACGGACCCAGTCTTCTTTGGCCTGTCTGATCTTCCGTCGAGTCAGGTTCTGTATTTCTTTATATTTAGCGGCATTGTTTTTGTTATTTCGCCTCTTAAGTGCTTTTAAGTGCCACTTTTTTACAATTATTACGGGTTTGGGTAAATAAAATTTAAATTAAAGTCACAAGCTAGCAATAATTACTTTGAAAATGGACGCTGTAAACACTTTTCGGTATTTTTTCAATGAGGGTGATTTAAATTTTAAAAGATTTTATAATTTTTGAAGGTTCTCACTTTGGCAAAAGAAAATTATTTCTGTTTTTGTTTGGCGGTTGTTCTTGGCAACCGCTATAGCAGCGCCTTGCAACGTATGCGCTCCACAACAATTGATTATTATAATCATAAAATGTCAAATTCAACGAGTGTAACCTTAGTTTCTAGATATAAAAGGCATTACTTTTAAATCTTTATATTATTTGCAACTTTTGGATGCATCTTTTATGCATCGTCAAACGTACAGCCTTGCCACAAAGAGTGTAAGTAAGTTTTACTTCTATTTTACTAATGTTTGTAAATAATATTTTAATAAAATTATATTTCAACAAGATAAATTTTTATATCGAAATATTTCTAATTTTATATTTATTTTATTGGCTTGATCATATATCAGACTATTACTAAAATCACCGTTATGCCTTTCCGGCCTGCCCTTTTTTCGTAGGCCCCCTTTTAAAAGGCTTCCCCTCTCTAAATATAGTCTGCGAGTCCCCCGGCTCACGATATTCCCAAGTTGCCATGTCATCAGTTGCGGGTTGATTGTATGGGATGTTTCAAACTTTCAATATCATTTATTACTCTGAGAATTTAATCTGCTTTAATGACATCCAACCCCCAACGTTTTACCTTCTACCTTTTCTTTTTCGTTCCGGAGGGTGGACGGATAGTGACGCAAATAAAAGTGATGAGGACGGAGGCACAAGGGACGAAAAAGGAAAAGTCAAAGGTTCGATTTTTAATTATCTGCGATTTTGCAATTGAGAAAAAGGTAGAAAAGGGCAGTAAAAGCTTGTCGGTTCAGTAATTTACCGTCGAATTTAAAAATACTTCTTAGAAAATAAAACGTTGCGAATAATATACGTATATTTGATACTAATCGAACTTTTAGTTAGGTACGTAATTAAGGGCGAGATTTTTAAATTCACTGTTGCTAACCATGGGCATATTCGGCGCCTGGCTGACTAACTGGAATTTAAATTTCCCGCTGGGGATTCAGGTGATAGTTCTGCTGTAAACAATGTCAAGTTGCCAGATTTATTTACTTATTTCCTGACATTGTCATTCGTTTTGAAACTTTAGTTTTGTATTACGAGTTTAAGGGTTAAATCAATTATGTTGTGATACTTGAAGATCGACCATTATTATACAGGGTGGCGCACCTCATTCGCCTCGGTTAATTAAACGGAAAGATGTAGAAACAAAAAATTTTATGGGTATATGTAAATTTTAAGTGCAAGTTAGAAACACTTGCATTTTTGTTAAAAATAAGTGGAATTGTGTTGGTGTTCGACAGTGGTCACGCTATTAGAATTCAAAAATCGATATCTCGAAATCCATTAGAAATAATTGATTGTAGCTTTTTCAAAAACTTTCTCAACATTTCTGCTCTATTTTCTTCGCAGACAGTATGTGAAAATCTTTATAAATAAAAAAGTTACACGATTGCTGAAAATTGCTATGCACTGAAAGTAAATGGATGGGTTGTTTTTTAAAATCTTTGAATGGAAAAAAACAACCTTATCAAATTTTTCTTATTTAAACATATTGTAAAAGAACCGATCTTCAAAATAAGAAAATAAGAAGTATCGCGATTACTGGCGTTTTCTCGTTATAAAAATATGGACAGCCTAACGATCTCCTTATAATTCCATTTTAGATGCTCAGAAACATATCTAATGATTTTATCTAGTTATCTTTTCGAATAAAAAATCTTATAAACTTTTACTTTACTTGATAGGGAAACACTTTGAAAGGCACACCGTCGCATTTCTCTCACTCCGACTTGACCGAATAAGATCCCTATGCGATTTACTTCCACACATGTAAACACCGACCCAAAAGCAACAGTTCCCAGCACGGTATAATTTTTTTAGAATTTAAAAAATATTTTATTCTCATTTCTACGACCCTGTGCTCTGTGTAACACTAATCAAATTGAATTAAAGATTCGTTTTACCTTCCTCGGTAATCCTCGGGATACGGTATAATCGTCCCTTCTGGACTAGGTCTGGGTGAATTCCCAATCCAGAAGAAAGCGTCCGGGCCAGTGCCGTCGTAGGAGAATCCTTTAATGAATATCGTGCTCTCGTCCACTGCGTACACGGTGCCTTTGATGCCATGAGCGAATTCTTGTAGCGGTCCGATTTTCGTTCCGTAGTAGGGTTCAGGATGCCTTTTAGATAAACCTGAAACATATTATAATTAAATAAATATAGTGACGTATTTGGGAAATTCAGTAATCTAATTAATGAATTAAATCAAATGAATTCATTCAGCAAATAGGGGTTGCTACGGTTCGAAGTTTTTCCTACTATACTTTATATGGGTCCGGCAATAATAGCATCTGTAGAGCTCCTATAATAAAAAACTTAGGAATTTTTGGATGTATTTTAGGAAAATGTTCTAACCTAACGGAACCCCTGTTTATAATAGCATTTTTGGCTTCCTTTCTGATCATTTAATCTTAAGATATATACTGGGTGTCCCAGGCTGAGCATGCATTAGAAGTTTCGAGAGATCTACACCGTTAACCGTTTTTGAGAAAAAAATTATTTAAAATTTTTGGAAAAAAAACTTCCTGTCAAAAGAATCTGTATAGCCTAAACCAGAGAGAACACTAATAACTAAAGTGAGAGAGACCGATCAACGTTAATTTTTGAAGACTGTATTAGTGGCGCGACCTTTGGCGTCTAACCCGAACTATGAGCGCATTATCGATATAGTAGGTTGCATTCATACCTATATACTGGCGCCAAAAATTTAAAATTTGTATATTTGAACCGAATCTTAATCTTTCAAGTTTATAATAAGAAATCTTCGTAGTTTTTTTAGATTATTTTGTTGACAACGAAAATTTATTATTAGACTTTAAAGCATTAAAACCTATAAATAAAATACTGTGTAGGAACATAATAATTTATTTAACTCCATACTCCTTGCCATACTCCAACTCAAGGCTGCAGTCTTCAGTATCTTTTTTATCTAACTTGGTTGGGAGTGAACAGGGAAGCACGGTTGGAAGCTCGCATAGAGTATCAGTAGGTATCCCGTAGGTATTCAATGTTTTTGATAGTCTTTATTCTATAACAAGAACCTAGCAGTTGAAGAAAATAATTTGTATTACTGGAAATAATACCAGGTATAATACCTAGTCGTTCCATAGGTATCAAAAAAGAATGTGATGTTTTAAATTAAAAAAATTAAATTAGCAATATACGATTATTATGTGCACTCACTATTACTATTAGGTATGTTAAAATAATTACCGAGATAAAACTTACCCTTAAAGGAAACGTTTTGTCTGGGTCTCAACCACAAAACAAAAATTACGAAAATGCCGAATAATCGTGGAATCTGAAATAATCAATAATGACAATAATCTTCTCTTCTGACAAGCTAAAAGAACAGGCACATTCAGTCAAAAACAATTTATTACTCCGATTTGCTCCGATTATCAACAGCTTTTAGTTATCTCCTTCTAGAACTAAGAAATAGAAAAAGTTACTGACAATCTAATTAATCCTGTCAAATGTTTAACTTGCAAAGTTGAAAATTTCCTTTCTTGACCGCCTAAACGCTATGCGCGTCTGGGATGCGCGGTGACAAACTTGCCTACGAAATGCCCTATTCCACAAGCCCTCTCACTTTAGTTTCTCTCTGGCCTAAACGACAAATTTAGTGATTACCACAGCCATTGTGCCATAAAGAGAGGACCTGTGTTTATCTATTACAAAAATTAAATTGTTCGAATGTCATATAATATTGGACGTAGCTGTCATGGAATTGAGGTATTAAACAATTATCATAAATCATTTTTTTTTTGAAATGGAAACCCATTTTTTTATTTCGCTAGTGAAAGGGTTTTTTAATTCGTTACTTTTTGATTTCATATATATTTAGTTTTAAAGGGTATAATTTTTTTGTCTTTTTAACCTGTAGCTTATGACGTTAAACGTCACGCGATGGAAAACTATATCTTGCCATGTGATATTATTTATTGATACATTTTAAAGGTGCGTATTCACTATCCGAACGAACGAACGAACATTTGTTGGTTCGTTCGGTAGTAGTATGGACGGGACCGAATTTTAGAACCGAACGAGTAACATCTACCCATTCGTTTTTGAACTCCTTTGATGTACCGACTCTAAACCTTTGAATAAGAAGACTAAGGAAGAAGCATATCAAAAATCTTAGATCCACCGCGATGGGACTCAAATATGGCCGACTTAAATTCCGGTTTATCAGTGCCGTTCTAATTTTATTTAAAAAATGTAAAACTATGATGTAGGGTAGACGTGGGGTAGAATCAATAATTTGTTAGTTTATTTTACGTTGTAAATAAATGTTGTTAGTTATTAAAATTGTTATAAAAATATAAAATTCTAATGAAAATAGATAAGTTACAATAATTATTTACAACCATAAACATCCGATACGCTACTGAAGCAGGTATGTCAAATTGACGTATCTAAATTCTTTGACATCTAATTTTTGACAAGTAGTAAATAAAAGCAAAAATGCAAGGAAAAATATATAATTAGTTAATTTAAGAGAATTTCATAAATGATCGGTTTACTACACGTATGTGTATTATATAGTCACTTACTAGCGAAAAGTTGTTCCATTATTTCACTCGATTTTTGCCGAGATCTACCGCACGCTACACAACCAACATTTTTAGAGTCTTTTTCGATAAATCGCGATAGTGTCACTGTTAATTTAAGTTCTGCCACAATTTCCATCTATATTTACTACCTTTATACAACTATCAGTAGTAGAATAAATAATAAATAACATAAAACAAGCTCCGTAAAGACTGACAAATCCACAAAATTTCAAACCAAATTCAAATGTGTCAAATGAATCAAACAGAACTGTCAAGGATCCCCACCCTAGAGTCCTTTTTCCTCCCATATCATTATGCTCCTTCCTTAGTCTTCTTATTCAAAGCTCGAAACGGATGGTCGAGCAAACGAACGAACGAACGGCCGCATGCGTTCGGTTCCTCGTCCAAATATACCGAATTCCATTCGTTCGCTCGTTCGTTTGTTCGGATAGTGAATACGCACCTTAATAAAGTTTTACCAGAGCAGTATTTATAACAAACGAAATTCAAATAATTAGCTTTTTGACAGAAGGAAATAAATTGTCGGATGATTTGACATTTAATTCCAAAGGAAGCTAGATAAAATCAAGAAAAAATTATGCTTTAAAACTAAATCTTAAATAACTTAAAAACGATTTATTTTAGGTATAGGAACATGTATAATCATAAAGTAACGAATTAAAAAACCTTTTCACTAGTGAAATAAAGAAAAGTGGGTTTCCATTTGAAAAAAAATATTTATGAATTTTTTTTAATCGCCCAATTCCATGACAGCTATATTTTTAATAGGTAGATCTCGTTGAAACAGTGATGTGCAAAAAATCTCAGCCTGGGACACCCGGTATATTGAATAGACATTTACAAGTAACTGTCTATGTCTATTTATATTATATATTTGTATCTGCTCATTTACTAAAAGTTAACAGTAAAAATAATTTTTTTGTTCAATAGGGAGACCGTTGGTGGGAGACACCACTGATCAAAAATTTCAAGAAAACGATGACAAAAACAGCGTCATACTCCAAAAATCAAAATATTTGTCTTTATATTTTAATTAAATATTCATAATACAAAATAAGAGCGATTCTAGAGAATGACCTGTCAATATAACCCCTAAAAGTTATGCGCCCGAGTATTTCTTAACGTGCCGAAGACCCAATTCTCGTCGATGTCTCAATAGCTGTCTTTCAGATCCACAAACGCTCAAGTGTATTACGTGAGGATATCGGCGGAATGTATTCGGTATTTGGGAAAGCGGTTTTTCTGTCGCTTTTCAGCCCCTATACCGCTTTCTCCCCTTTTAACGGGGTTTCGGGGATACGGTTCCGATTAAGTCTACACCGTATGCGACAAGAGTTTTTTGTATTCATAGGAGTAAATCGACTATCGCTTGCATAAAAAGAGGGAGAAATAACGGAAGTAAATATTTTTACTATGTTATTTTTATATTTCAACTCAATAGTTTTTACTAGTAAAATTTTGTTACAATAGTATATTGTCTTATTAGAAGTAAAAATTACATTTCTTTGTGGCGAGGCTGTACGTTTGACTGACTCGTCTGACATATAGCTGAGGCTATACTCCGAATAGAACATGCTATTTTTTCAAACGCCATCAAGTAAGTTTTTAAACAATTTCAAACGTTCCAAATAACATAAAAAGATTTAAGTCATACCTGGTATGTAATAATTAGTGATGGGAAAAACCGATTAATTTCAATAATCGAAGAAGGGAAGGGTTTCACACTAGAGCTAGATCAGAACATTAAATGGATCCCTCCAGTCTCGCAAAACTATCCCAGATTTGTTGGTTTGATTAATAGCATGGCAAAAAAATATATTTCGAGAGGATACAGGAAAGATTATATTCCGGGCTGGAGTACCAAATGTTGTGAACTTTTCGAAGATTATAACAACAGTCACGACCCAGAAGTTGCAGACGAATTGTTATGGCATAACTTGATATAAACATAAAATCATTATAAACCTTCCTTCAAATTAAATTAGATTTTGAATTCGACATTTATAATGTTAATTTGAGTAATTACACTTTAATACATAAATTAAATTGTAGCGAAAGGGCCCTTTCAGTAATCCTACGTTAGCAAAAGGTATTTTGCGTCAAAAGTACAAAGCGCATCCCACGCGAAATTTACAAACTCCCACTTGCAGAATACTTAACAATCAAATTAAACTGCTATCGGATATGTTACGTAGGCTTCTAATATTTACTCTAATTACTTGTGAATTGGCTGCTAAATTTGATGTGGGCGCTAATTAAATATAGACGTGAAAAAGGAATATGCAAATCATAGATTAGTAAAGTATGAAAACAACATAAGGATACTAAAAAAAACGACGTAATAGTAGGCGTAGAAGTTTTGTATTAAAGTTTTTGAGAGTAATAGTTAACATGTAAAAAATATTTAATTCGATATAACTGAAAAAAAAACGGCGTCAAAAACGGCTGGGGAATGACAATAGATGATAATTTTTTAGAAGTCATTCTGTAGACATCATTTACTAAAAATTGACAAAAAACTTAACACTAATTATAGAAAGATTTAAAAAGCATATA